GTCTTAAGGAGTTCCAATATACCACCACAAGTCACCTTAGAAGGAAAATCAAGTGGAAAGAAGATTATAAACTCAATCCCAACTCCTCGGCCCCGCTTCCACTTATATCAGCGACCATGGCTCGCCTCACACTCTTGATGGAGAGGGAGTGAGGTGGAATGAGGGAGGTGGAATGAGGGAGAGAGAGAGAAAGGGTGATAGCGAGGGTGAAGGAGACATATCCACGCAATTAAAGATCAAACACAATTTAAAACACTATCAAAGACAACACCACGCCTCCCCCCACTGTGTAATCACCTCGTTCCCATCCCCTGCAGTATAGGACGACCATTGGCTGGTCAGGGCAGACCTAAGCTAAAAGCCTTAAGAAATATTATCAATTATATACAAATTCAATTTTCATTGAATCTTCCAAAGGGGAAATACACACTTTGTATACAACAGAGGTATACTCAGTTTACAAAGTGTACCTTAGAGATATATCCACACTTATAAATGTCTAGTATACTGAACCTACAAGGAGAACCGTAAAGTGAAGTATACCCAAACTTATAAATGTCTAGATTCCTCCTTGTAAACTCAGTATACCTGTGTTTGCTGCACATAAAGTGTAAACCTGAAGATTGCTGACAAAACGTCGAACTAATGGAATGATTATGTGATCTAGTGTTTCTTCTGTTAGTTTACCAAAGTTGTCAGGCATCTGTTAGTTTACCATAGTTGTCAGGCATCTGTTAGTTTACCAAAGTTGTCAGGCATCTGTTAGCAAGTTTACCAGAGTTTGAATTAATTTTAATCACGCCAAATAACTATCAGAACGAAAACATATTTCGTGAGAATCACCAAAAATCACTAAGGTTCTTGAATCACTAATTAGCATCTCAAGTACATAGCAAACCTAGAGGTTCAAGGGAGAGGGGGTTGGGGGGGTTGGGGGGGGTTAGGTTGTTATATTATATTTGAGATTCATATATAGATTTTTTAAATATTTTTTTTATATACATTGAGTAATCCCTGGAAACACAAACCGAAACTGTCTCTATTTTCCGCTTGTAACAACTTGTAATAAAGTTGTTACATCTTGGCTTAATGTGTTTATGAGGTATTGAAACGTTGTTACAACTTGATATATTGGTTGTTATAACTGGTTAGGTGGTGTTAAAACTTGTTCGAACGTTGTACCAACGTCGTAGTTTCGGTGTGTGTTTGGAGGGATGTTTTTCGCTTCGCTTATATTCAAACTAAGGGATGAGAAGGCTTTTAATCGTGTGATGGTCGCACAGCCGAGAGATATTAATGGCTTCACGCCTCTATAGGATTAAAAATTGTATATAATAATATTTTATATTTTTTATTTACCAAGCTTCAGTTATCTATTGTTTACTCTATACCCATAATTCACTAGTCCCACACCACCAGTTGATTGATAGTTGAGAGGCGGGACCAAGGAGCCCGAGCTCAACCCCCCCCCCGTAAGTAAACTAGGTGACGTACAACCTCCTCCACAACCCCTCACAACCCACAATTCACTACCCCTGTATCAGGGAGCCGGTGGCTGAGCGGACAGAACACTGGACGCATGATCCTGTGGTTCTGGGTTCGATCCGGGGCGCCGGCGAGAAACAATGGGCAGATTTTCTTTCACCCTTGATGCCCCTGTTACCTAGCAGTAAATAGGTCCCTGGGAGTTAGTCGGCTGTCACGGGCTGCTTCCTGGGGGTGGAGGCCTGGTCGAGGACTGGGCCGCAGGGACACTAAGCCCCGAAATCATATCAAGATAACCTCAAGATATCCCCCGTCCTTACACTCAGCGTAGTCTCTATGTCTCCTCTACCAAAGCCATTGAACTTTCGTTCGAAGCTTTCTCCCCGTAACCTTCACTTCTTCTCCAGCTCCTTTCTTCTCTGATATAGCATCCACACCTCTCTAAATCCCTCATTCTCTATCGCGTCCTCTCTCTTAATCCCTCTCATTCCTTGCTCTCTTTCTCTCATCCCCCTCTCTCCTGGCCCTCTTCTTCTCTTTCCTTCTCACACTTTTCCTCACTCTAAATCTTCCTCTGTCATTCCCCTACCCATCCCCTCTATTAGTCCCAATTTCAACCATTCGTCCTCTCACCCTCCCTCTCACTCTTCCTCACCCTCTTAATTCTTCCCCTTCACTATAACTTCCTATTTCCCGTATCTCTAAACCCGTAGTGCAACAAAGGTAACAAGAATGAAAGAGGGTCAACAGCCCTCAGGGGGTGAGAGCTGGGCGGTGGATACACGTGCAAGTCAACATGAAATAAACCAAGATGATAAAATAATGAACTATGCATTAGAAACAATTAAATATGAAAGAAACGATGTAACCAATATCTCCAGTGAGCTGAGATTAGAAAAGGAGATAAACAGCCTCAAAGAAACCCAGTATAAGACAACGTGGAAGCTTCAGAATACTGGAAACCAATTCATGATTGGATCTCTTAGAAGGCAGCAGTCACATTGGGAGCTGACCGTTGGAAATAGCAGTATAAGGGGTGGGAATTAAGGAACATGAAGGATTCAAACAGTAGAAATCGAGAGTCAAGGATATAATTGTAGTAATGGAGATGCTGATGAAGGTTTAGATGACAGGGACTGAAAACAACATAGAGGTATTCAGGCTAGGAAAATACAGAAATAAATGAAGCCGGCTGATAAAGATTGTGTTCATGAACAATGACACAAGAGCTGCAGTGAACTTCAGAATGTACCAAAATGCAGAGAACTATTACATCAGATGAACGTTATGAAGGAAGAGACAGCCACAGCAGCAGATGTGAGGAATAGGTGCCGGGAGTGGAATGGGACGACGATAACTTCCAACTTGATAACTTACCGGCTGGTGGACAGCTGAGTACGTCACAACAGACTCCTAAACCAACTAAGTTCCCACCCATTCAACAAACTCATTTCCCTTCACTTCAACTGCCAACTCCCATTCCATACTGTCCCTTCCCCCTTTTCCTACTCCTCCCTGCATACCAATGCCATTCCCTAAAACACTATATAACTCTAACCCACAATAAAACCATTCAACTCTTTTACTTTTAAACATTACTTTTAAAGTAATGTCCAAAAGTAATGACCACAGGATATATAGGATTACAAAACAAGTGAAAATCTTGCAACAGTCAATTAAAACCAAGATGTAATTGCAATCACAGAAACAAAACTCTCATGACTTGGAACACGAAACAAAATTTATCGGCAAATAATGGGAAAAACTGCATCTTACCCGCCCTAGACACTGAACGAGATGCTTAAATGTGACGGGGCTTGATGGTTTAGTGTAACGACCATTACGGCTATTTGACCGTAATTAGTGTAATTACCATTACGACCATTCGGTCAATTAAAAACAAGATTCTCAAGCTGGAAACGATGATATATGTTCTACAAGTTTGTAGACTGTCTATTGGACACCAGAAACAGAAATTGTATATTTAATATATAATTGGTAAAGTGAAATGCGTTTAAGTGCTGTCATCGCAGGACTAATGATAGCTATTTGTTGAAACAACGAAAGTAGCATTAGATAAAGTAGCTTAGATAAAGCATGAGATAAAGCAACATTAGATAAAGTAGCATTAGATAAAGTAGCATTAGATAAAGTAACTTAGATAATGCATGAGATAAAGCAACATTAGATAAAGTAGCATTAGATAAAGTAGCATTAGATAAAGTAGCATTAGATAAAGTAGCATTAGATAAAGTAGCATTAGATAAAGTAGCATTAGATAAAGCTGCATTAGATAAAGTAGCATTAGCTAAAGTAGCATTAGATAAAGCTGCATTAGATAAAGCTGCATTAGATAAAGTAGCATTAGATAAAGTAGCATTAGATAAAGTAGCTAAGATAAAGCATTAGATAACGCAACATTAGATAAAGCATCATTAGATAACGCAGCATTAGATAAAGCATCATTAGATAAAACAGCATTAGATAAAGCAACGTTCGACACGTGATTCGTGTGGGAAGGACCATGTATACGACAAGTTTTTGAATCAAGTTTGACCTTCTTTTTTTAAAACATTTTATCAAGTTTTGAAGTGCGGAGGATCACTTCAAAACCCTTGATAACTGTGAGGAAAAAAACACCATTACTCAAAAATCTCTCACTACTCCAAACTCAGTTTTTAACATCTTGTGAAATGTTGCCTTCACACTTCCAACTGATTGGTAGAAAAAGTGATTTTATGAAATGCAATTTAAAATATATATATATATATATATATATATATATACACACTTTTGTGTAACCCCATAACTTTTATAGATCGTTTTGAATGTTTTTTTTGGCAATTTATGAATTTTTTGTAGGTTCTTATTAAAGCCAGGCCATATAAAGTGGATTATTATATACAACAGGATTGATGAGTATAGAGGGGAGCTTTGAGCCACATGTGTGAGCCATATGTATATAATTTGCATATATGTTATGATTTTCCTGTTTCATAAATATGTCAGCTGAGGAATACGTGATTTATGATGAATAATTAAAGGCTGAAAGACTGAGTGAAAGGGGCTGAAGATATCCCTTAGTACTCCTGGGATATCCCTTAGAAATCCTGGGATATCCATTAGCACTTTCTCCTGATAATAATTATCCTGTCTCCTGGAATATCCCACTTACGTACCAATTAAGCAACCCACCTAACCTATTACGGTAGGTACATAGAAAACGTCAATTGGTGGGTGGTATAATTTGTAACTATTACGTTGTATTTTCAATGTATTGGTCGATTTAGGTAAAATAATGTGGGAAGACGGATTGTTGAGGGGTGACTAATGAAAACTAGGTCCAGTTGTTGTAGTTGTTCTCTGTCTGTCTCTGTCTGTCTGTCTCTGTCTCTCTCTCTCTCTCTCTCTCTCTCTCTCTCTCTCTCTCTCTCTCTCTCTCTCTCTCTCTCTCTCTCTCTCTCCTGGAAGACGTTCCCAAGATCCTTTCGTAAATTTCCTTCATTCCAGGCGTGATGAGGAAACCAGGACGGCCCTTATGTCGTCCTCCTCTCCCACAGCATCTTCCAGGCCTCCCACAGCATCCCACAACCTCTCCCAGATCTCCCAGGCCTCCCACAGCATCCCACAACCTCTCCCAGATCTTCCAGGCCTCCCACAGCATCTCCCAGGCCTCCCACAGCCTCTCCCAGATCTCCCAGGCCTCCCACAGCATCTCCCAGGCCTCCCACAGCCTCTCCCAGATCTCCCAGGCCTCCCACAGCATCTCCCAGGCCTCCCACAGCCTCTCCCAGATCTCCCAGGCCTCCCACAGCATCTCCCAGGCCTCCCACAGCCTCTCCCAGATCTCCCAGGCCTCCCACAGCATCTCCCAGGCCTCCCACAGCCTCTCCCAGATCTCCCAGGCCTCCCACAGCATCTCCCAGGCCTCCCACAGCCTCTCCCAGATCTCCCAGGCCTCCCACAGCATCTCTCAGGCCTCCCACAGCCTCTCCCAGATCTCCCAGGCCTCCCACAGCATCTCCCAGGCCTCACACAGCCTCTCCCAGATCTCCCAGGCCTCCCACAGCATCTCCCAGGCCTCCCACAGCATCTCCCAGGCCTCCCACAGCATCTCCCAGGCCTCCCACAGCCTCTCCCAGATCTCCCAGGCCTCCCACAGCATCTCCCAGGCCTCCCACAGCATCTCCCAGGCCTCCCACAGCATCTCCCAGGCCTCCCACAGCATCTCCCAGGCCTCCCACAGCATCTTCCAGGCCGCCCGTCTCCACGGAGACCTATTTCCAAAGTTTTCTCCTATACTGGTCCATTAAACCACAGCCGTCAGCATACACACAGCAGACCTCAGCATATACACAGCAGACCTCAGCATGCGCACAGCAGACCTCAGCATACACACAGCAGACCTCAGCATACACACAGCAGACCTCAGCATACATACAGCAGACCTCAGCATACACACAGCAGACCTCAGCATGCACACAGCAGACCTCAGCATACATACAGCAGACCTCAGCATGCGCACAGAAGACCTCAACATACATACAGCAGACCTCAACATACACACAGCAGACCTCAGCATGCTCACAGCAGACCTCAGCATGCACACAGCAGACCTCAGCATGCACACAGCAGACCTCAGCATGCACACAGCAGATCTCAGCATGCACACAGCAGATCTCAGCATGCACACAGCAGACCTCAGCATGCACACAGCAGACTTCAGCATACACACAGCCGACCTCAGCATGCACACAGCAGACCTCAGCATACACACAGCAACACCAGCACACACAGCAGAGACGGTACAACGGAAGCCAGCAGACACCAGACATGTATTGCAACACAGGTGTCTCCTGTCGCATGTGTTACAACACAGGAAATGATACATTCAGTTTAATATAAAACTCCCACATAGAAGCTCGCTCAACATTCCTGGAGACTGTAAGCTGTTGACCCGCGTGTAATAACCGTGTAAAATTGATTCCCAAGTTCTGGGGTCCGAGCCTGCCCAGTGGCCCAAGTAGCAACGGCCGGGGCTGTTGTTAAGTCCAAATTTTGTTAATTTGTAATGTTGTTAAGTCCAAATTTTGTTAATCAGATTTGTTAAGTCCAAAGATATGTTTAATGTTTGAAATTAATTGGCAAAATGGGGAAAAAATGGATAATTACAGTGAAGAGCGGAATAGATTATGTCATATTAGAATGAATAAAGGATTATGGTAATAGTGGAATGAGGTAATAGGCGGCCCCTTATATTGTAGCTGAAGGTGTATGAGGGACTATCAGGGTAAAAGCGCCAAGCCATTACGACTATATAGCACTGGGAAGGGGTCAGGATAAGGATTTGGGATGGGACGGGGGGAAAGGAATGGTGCCCCAACCACTTGTTGACGGTCGGGGATTGAACGCCGACCTGCATGACGCGAGATCGTCGTTCTACCGTCCAGCCCAAGTGGTTGGGCGTTTGAAAGTTGAGAAAGAGAGAGATGGTGGATTATTTTTCCATATGCTCACCATTGCAAATCTATTCTAAGCTTGGAGAATGAGAGTGAATGATGCCCTGTAATGCATATTACAATTGCAATATTCCCCATTGCTACTTCAACACACACACACACACACACACACACAATGCACTTCACGACACTGGAAGACAGAAGAGTAAGGGGAGACATGATCACAACCTACAAAATCCTCAGAGGAATCGACCGGGTAAACAAGGATAAACTATTCAACACTGGTGGGACGCGAACAAGGGGACACAGGTGGAAACTGAGTACCCACATGAGCCACAGAGACGTTAGAAGGAACTTTTTCAGTGTCAGAGTAGTTAACGGATGGAATGCATTAGGCAGTGATGTGGTGGAGGCTGACTCCATACACAGTTTCAAATGTAGATATGATAGAGCCCAATAGGCTCAGGAACCTGTACACCAGTTGGATGACGGTTGAGAGGCGGGACCAAAGAGCCAGAGCTCAACCCCCGCAAGCACAACTAGGTGAGTACACACACACACACACACACACCCATCCTCACCCTACACAAAATTAAACACAAACCAGTATATATATTTTTAATGTTTAGTACCTGTGGTTGGGCGATCAAGTTTGTGTAATTTGGGACTCAACAAATACATTGTCATTCATTGTGATTTTTTCCCCTCGGCTCATAAAGCTAGATACCAAAATTTGTGGTGCAAACAGTCGATTTGTAAGCAAATTGCTGAACAAGGATGAGTTGTTGCTCATATGTGGGTAACAATATTGACTGTGGACCAGGTGCTAATTACTTTCTGATGCTGTGGTGGGTATGTGGGCCTGCGGGCCGCTCCAAGCAACAGCCTGGTGGACCAAACTCTCACAAGTCAAGCCTGGCCTCGGGCCGGGCTTGGGCAGTAGAACAACTCCCAGAACCCCATCAAGCAGGTATATGTGGGCCTGCGGGCCGCTCCAAGCAACAGCCTGGTGGACCAAACTCTCACAAGTCAAGCCTGGCCTCGGGCCGGGCTTGGGCAGTAGAACAACTCCCAGAACCCCATCAATCAGGTATATGTGGGCCTGCGGGCCGCTCCAAGCAACAGCCTGGTGGACCAAACTCTCACAAGTCAAGCCTGGCCTCGGGCCGGGCTTGGGGAGTAGAACAACTCCCAGAACTCCATCAACCAGGTATATGTGGGCCTGCGGGCCGCTCCAAGCAACAGCCTGGTGGACCAAACTCTCACAAGTCAAGCCTAGCCTCGGGCCGGGCTTGGGGAGTAGAACAACTCCCAGAACCCCATCAAGCAGGTATATGTGGGCCTGCGGGCCGCTCCAAGCAACAGCCTGGTGGACCAAACTCTCACAAGTCAAGCCTGGCCTCGGGCCGGGCTTGGGCAGTAGAACAACTCCCAGAACCCCATCAAGCAGGTATATGTGGGCCTGCGGGCCGCTCCAAGCAACAGCCTGGTGGACCAAACTCTCACAAGTCAAGCCTGGCCTCGGGCCGGGCTTGAGGAGTAGGAGAACTCCCAGAACCCCATCAAGCAGGTATATGTGGGCCTGCGGGCTGCTCCAAGCAACAGCCTGGTGGACCAAACTCTCACAAGTCAAGCCTGGCCTCGGCCGGGCTTGGGGAGTAGAACAACTCCCAGAACCCCATCAAGCAGGTATATGTGGGCCTGCGGGCCGCTCCAAGCAACAGCCTGGTGGACCAAACTCTCACAAGTCAAGCCTGGCCTCGGGCCGGGCTTGGGCAGTAGAACAACTCCCAGAACCCCATCAAGCAGGTATATGTGGGCCTGCGGGCCGCTCCAAGCAACAGCCTGGTGGACCAAACTCTCACAAGTCAAGCCTGGCCTCGGGCCGGGCTTGAGGAGTAGGAGAACTCCCAGAACCCCATCAACCAGGTACCAAGCAGATATCAAGCAGGCTCGTATTGCTCTGCTTCATGGCTATGTCTGCTGTGGCACGATGATGTATATCTCTTCTTATCGATCACTGATAACTCTAAATCAAGATCTAAATCTATAATTAAGTCTCAACATTATGATGAATGTGGAAATTATACTGAAATTTGGGGTAAAGAAAGTTATATGTTCGGTAACTTATGAATACATTGTTTATATAATTCGAATTTGTTTTGTTTATAGTAATTATACGACGAAGGATTGGGTATTATAGGGACGAAGTATAATATTATTCACCTATCTGTTATCTTGAGATAATTTCGGGGCTTAGCGTCTCCGCGGCCCGGTCCTCGACCAGGCCTCCTTTTTGTTACACATCCCCCAGGAAGCAGCCCGTAGCAGCTGTCTAACTCCCAGGTACCTATTTACTGCTAGGTGAACAGGGGGCATCAGGGTGAAAGAACCTCTTCCCATTTGCTCCGCCGGGGATCGGAACCTCGGGATTACGAATCCCGCGTGCTGTCCACTCAGTCGTCAGGCCTCCCCTGTGTTCTATCAGTCGAGTAGGTATGTCTGTAGGGGGGTAATTGATCTCTCTCTCTCTCTCTCTCTCTCTCTCTCTCTCTCTCTCTCTCTCTCTCTCTCTCTCTCTCTCTCTCTCTCTCTCTCTCTCTCTCTCTCTCTCTCTCTCTCTCTCTCTCTCTCTCTCTCTCTCTCTCTCTTTGCGGTAATAATAGCAATTAGCTCTTCCAAAAAACCAGAAAAGAACAATTGGTAAGACTAATAGCATGCCACACTCCACCTGACTTGCCTTTTCTCATATCTTTGTCCAGCAAGTAAAAGTCCTGCTTGAACTCCCTCCTCATCTCTCGTATGGACTCGGGTTATTAAATCGACTCGAATGCCTGGCGATTGTTAGTGGGATTACCCTCATCTGTTTATACCATTTTTACCTGTTGTACCCAGTTGTTGTGGAGTGTGTGGGGGATTCTGTTGGTTTAGGAGCATTGATTGCAGTTTTGTGGGGTTGGATATGGAGTTTCATGGGTTTTGTGGGTTTCAATATGGAGTTTCATGGGTTTTGTGGGTTTCAATATGGAGTTTCATGGGTTTTGTGGGTTTCAATATGGAGTTTCATGGGTTTTGTGGGTTTCAATATGGAGTTTCATGGGTTTTGTGGGTTTCAATATGGAGTTTCATGGGTTTTGTGGGTCTGAATATGGAGTTTCATGGGGTTTTGTGGGTCTGAATATGGAGTTTCATGGGTTTTGTGGGTTTCAATATGGAGTTTCATGGGTTTTGTGGGTCTGAATATGGAGTTTCATGGGGTTTGTGGGTTTCAATATGGAGTTTCATGGGTTTTGTGGGTTTCAATATGGAGTTTCATGGGGTTTGTGGGTTTCAATATGGAGTTTCATGGGGTTTGTGGGTCTGAATATGGAGTTTCATGGGTTTTGTTGGTTTCAATATGGAGTTTCATGGGTTTTGTGGGTTTCAGTATGGAGTTTCATGGGTTTTGTGGGTTTCAATATGGAGTTTCATGGGTTTTGTGGGTTTCAATATGGAGTTTCATGGGTTTTGTGGGTTTCAATATGGAGTTTCATGGGTTTTGTGGGTTTCAATATGGAGTTTCATGGGTTTTGTGGGTTTCAGTATGGAGTTTCATGGGTTTTGTGGGTTTCAATATGGAGTTTCATGGGTTTTGTGGGTCTGAATATGGAGTTTCATGGGTTTTGTGGGTCTGAATATGGAGTTTCATGGGTTTTGTTTGGGTACTGTGTGGGGTTTGCGGGTCTCAAACCTATACTATAGTTTTGTAACCATGAAAAAGAGACAAATCTGTAAGAACGAATTTCATCGTCAGATTAATTTAAAAAAAATAGGTTCTTAAAATTCCACAAGGCGCAGGGAGCCAAACTTTGTTC